AAATTTTCAAGGGAGGAGACTCCCTTATCAGCCTCTTCTAAGTTCATTCATATATGTCATAATATATATTTTATCTAAATTCAAATTTGAGTGTACAATAGTTGTATATTTGTTCAATACATGTATATTATTGAAGTCTTATCATACAATAGAAATTTTTTGGAAGATCATATATATATATATATAATTCGTTGATATAATATAAAATTTTTATTTTATATATTTTTCGGATTGTTGGATGATTGAAATCAATGTGTGAGTAGGAATGTCGATTGGGCGGGCAGATGCGAGGATACTCCTCGCACACCTATCTCTATCAAGAATTTTCATTTTAATTCTCATCATGTGATCTGTTGTGGGTATAAAATCATCCTCGCCTGACCACTCGCGAAACGTGTACATATTTCCATTCAATTGAGTGTAAGGTGTGGTAGATCCTTGTGAGATTCGCCCCACTGACATTTTTGTGTGGGAGATTAATAGTAGCAAATGAGGAATTCTTTATGAGAAAAAAAAGTGAATTATTCTCGAATTAAAAGACTTCAATTCCATCCATTAAACTAATTTAATCAAACGATCTAAAAATATATATTGTTGAAGGAAACAAATTTGTCTTGTCGAACCCCTTTTGTTTTGGATGGAGAGTCGTAGCTAGTGGAGACTAGGTCATTGGTCGGTGTTTTCTCATGGGGGATATGAAGATATTAGGGAGAATAAGAATCTATGAGAATGAAGTGGAGAGGATAACTCTTTTCGGTCATGACAGGGGTATTGTAGTGACATTTAACTTATGATACCTGACATAGGGTCATTACCTACACTTGTAGGTCAACAAGCTAAATGGATCGAATATTCATATCTCAAATTTTGTTTTGATGGATCATGTGGATCTATCATAGGTTTTGTCTATATCCTATAGCTGATTCAGAGGTTATGGTATTCATTTGCTCGAAGGATATGAGTTCCTTGAAGGCTCAAAAGCAAAGGAATTTTTCTAGAGGTATTGTCTAACAGAGAAATAGCAAATTTCGAAGGTTATTTCAGGATGTTATATATAAGGTTAGGATTTACTTACACAATGTAAAACTCTTTAGTTTTACACATATTTAAGACCGTTGGATAAATGAAAATAGATGGCTGAGATTAACTACTTGTTTTTTTCAGTGAATATATTCTCATTTCTCACTATTAATCTCAATCATCTATTTTCACTTATCCAACGATCCTAATTCTATATAAAAAAATATAACTATTGAATGAATTTAAATGATACATTTTTCACTAAAAAATGAAATAGTAAGATTATAATCACATCCATCCATTTGAGATGATATGCTATGTCGAACTTAAACAATATATTTTTCATAGCATACACATAATAAAAGTTATCAAATTGGATCAAATCAAATTAAATTTAAATTTGTAGAAAAGAAAATTTTCAAATTGAGTTACAACCTTGCTTGATTCGGCTAATTATAATTTAATCCTAACATAGCAAAAAACGTGGAACAAGATTACGTGTGAAGGTATGATCATGTCATTCGGCCAGCATTATATGCAATGGTAAACTGCATATTTAGTCATCCACTTATTTTTATAGTTTTGTTTTGATCCCAAAATTATATTTAACGTTATGTTTACATTATATTTTAGTTACCCGTTAAAAAATAAATATAATTATTGTCATGTCAATATCTTTTTATTTTTTCAGTGATGACATGTTATTATCTTATGATGACACATCAACATAACCATTATTTTTTTAACAACGGGTGACCAGAATAGAATAAAAACGTAAAGTTAAGTATGATTTTAAAAATAAAATAGTTGAATAACCAAAACGAATCCACAAAAATAAGGGAGTGACTAAATACGTTGTTTACCCTAGAAGTAATTGGAAGAACGACTAGGTCAAATCATCTGCTTTTTGACTGATTTCCATCTAGGGGCTTACAATATTTGTCGTAGTTTTTGAGAGAAAACCTTATTTTTGTTTTGATCAAATCAGTTCATTCAAGAAATATTGTATGTGTTATTTTTTTAGGAACCCCCTCCTTCCCTCCCCATATATGCATGCACAAATAAGCTAAATTAAGGGCTTCCATTTGATCTCAATCTATCCCCACGTTTGATGATATTTCATTAGTTCTGAACTTATCTCAAATTTTGGGTAAAAATATGCTCTGATATGATTAATACGAATAATTTTTCTACTTTTATTTAACAAGATTGGGAGATAGTAAAAAATTATTATAAACTACACTAGATACCACTGAATTTTGAACAATGTATCGTTTGTACCATTAAGTTTTCAATTGCTTCAATTATAACCCTAAATTTAGGTTTTAACTTTAATTATACTATCGGGCTGTTAAAATCCAAACATTATGATGACATGGACAAAATAATATTATTTTGGCACGACTATTGAAGTCTAAAGTGATGTTGATTTGGCATTAAACTTTAGAGGTGTATCGATTTTGTTACTAAATTTTCAAACAATTCATTTTTGGCACTGCGCTTTTACGGTCGCTTCTAGTAGTGAATCGTTTCCTGTCATTGGTCGTCTTTCCTAGCAAGAGCGTTATTAGAACATTCACGTTTCACTACTCTTTCTTCCTCTATGATTGATTTTCCGTGAAACTCACGCAAAATCGATGAAATTAAACAAAAAAAAATTCATCATTCTTAGGGATTTGGGTTTTTTTTTCTCTCCAGATTTGAGGGGTTTGTTTGAAAATCTAAAGTATTATTTCAAGAAGACGAACAACATACATATCTCAAAATTAGCCTCATCGAACAATCATCAGAGGATATTAAAGTATTATCACGTTGAACCTTCAAATAAATTTTCATCAATTTTGAGTGAGTTTCGTGAAAAATCAATTTGATGAGAAGAAATATGAGTGCAATTTAAATATTTGGACATTGATCTTGTCGCGAATGGTAACCGATGGTAGACGACGTTTGGCTGCCAACGACGACAAGAAAAGTTTAGTGTAAAAAAGTGAATTGTTTAAATGTTTAGTGACAAAATCGACACACCCTTAAAATTTTAGTACCTAAACAATATCATTTTAGTCGACATCATCATAGTGACAGAATGACCTGTCCACATCATCTTGTTGTTAAATTGAATGGCTCAATGGTATAATTGAAGTCAAAGTCAAAGCTTAATGCTACAATTGAAGTAGTTGAAAGTTTAGTAGTATATGGTGTAATTTACTCTTAAAAATATATAGAGAAGAAAATTGTAGTAATTATGCCAAGTCAATTGAAGAATTTTTACCATAAACTTAAATCTATCCCTACCTTAACTCTCTCCATCATAGAGCCAACCTAGATTAGATGATAATAAATATCCCTGCCAGTTACCGAAAATGGGTCCAGCCATTGATAGTGACATTCTTGGTGGAAGGCTAGAGAGGCGACTAACATAGTGGTATCAGTCTTCGTGCCAACAACAGTCTCTGGCCATAAATAATGCTTACGCATTCTAAACCTTCGTCCCAGTTATAAACTGAATCTTTGCAAGGAAGCATTAAACTACAAGCAATCAGGAAAGCTAGCAGAGTAAGAAAAAGACACATGGATAGTACCGTATTACCCGGGCATTCTTTCCCTCTGCCAGTTACAGGCGAGTTGCCTTTTGAATCACAAATTCAAAGAGATACCCGGCCTCAGATTCAATTTTTTTTTAAATAATTCGATTAGGTCAAAATCTGTTGGATTTGAATAATTTGACCTTCCCTAACCACAAAAACGAAAAAAAAATCTCCTACCAAGTATTTAAAGTTATCGAATTCTTATGATTTTAAATTCGGAATCTAAATTAAACTAGAATAATCACGTGTTAGTTAATCCAAATAATTATATATAATTTTAAAGTGTTAAGACATTCATAAACAAAGTTGATATATTTACGTCTTTTTGGATCATCGAATGAATGAAAACGAACAACTGAAATTAACAATAAAAAATGAGAATTTTTTTCATAATAGAAAAAGGTGGATTATCCTTAATTTAAAAGTTTCAGTCTCAATCACTAAACTCAATCTGATGGTCTGAAAATCATATTAGTCAAATAAAGTTTTTATCCCTCTTATTTTTATTTATTTAAATACTTAATAGATTTTTATCCCTCCCAATGTTTAATCCTAACTCCATCCCTCTATATATATTATTCTCCTTCACCACATTCAGTTCATAATGTATTGTCTTGCACTTCCACTCTTAATAAGTTGATAAAAACTAGTATATACTAAAAAAAATCATCAATCAATGGTGCCTTCTTATTATATATATATATATAATAAGAACATGTGCATAATTCTTTGGATGCTTTTAAAATATATGACATCCTCGTCATATGATCATGTAATCATGTTTTTGGAATTTTCTCAGCACTTCCATCTTGAGATTAGGTTTTCCAAGACTTCATTTATCCTTGAATTAAAAAACTTAATTATTTTAATTTTTCTTTCATATTCTAGTTGGTTGCATAAGTCAACATGACACTTAAATTTATATTATTTGGATTAAAATGTTTTAAAATTTAAATTATTTGTATCAAACATATATTTATATCCAAACATAGATCGAAAGGATGTCCAGATGCAATCATACCTCTGGAAACTTTAATTTCTATATGATTTAGATATTATATTTGTATTTTGTACTGATTATTTAACTGTGAGTCTTTGAAAATTTTGTAATTTCGTACCCCAATATTTCTAATATAATATTCTAAATTCATACTTCCTTACATAAATCTTTGCGTCCGTCTCTGCTTATATATAACTTACAACAAAATCCCAAACCTTAGACAACTAGAATACATTGTTTTTAGTCAAGGCGTGGGCATTAGGAATAAAGCACTATACACGTAGTGTCATGGCCACTTTGTAAACTTTAACCACTAAACTCAGTGTCATCTACCCTGGTTTCTGCATATAAATATCACCATCACCATACCACCATACACACACCATCACAAAACAATCAATGGCTCACAAGCACTTCTCCTGCATCACTCTTATTCCTTTCCTTTTAGTTTTCTTCCACTTCTCCAGCTCGGTCGTCTCTCAATATCCGTATGGTGGATACGGTTACAGACAGCTCGATTATCGATTTTACGATCGATCATGTCCTAGATTGCTGAACATGGTTAGGTATGGTGTCTGGGCGGCTTATAGGAACGATACGAGGATCGCCGCTTCCCTCCTACGGTTGCACTTCCATGATTGTTTCGTTAATGTAATCCCCCGTACCCCATCGATCTTTAACACACATATATAAGGACCTATTACCGTTAGAGTATCGAATAATTATTTGCTTTTCCATGTCTTTAACTTCTATAACCCGAACCTTTTATAAAATTAAAGGAAATGGATTAAACTTAAAGTTAAACAAAATAGAGGGACCAAAACCAAAATTTATTAGATTCATTACATACTTCTAACTATTTATCAATACGATACCACTAGCTAAGATGAGAGTTCAATACGAGCATGTATCTGATATTGATATTCTATTTTTTCTTTTTTTTTCATATTCGAATATGTGTTGTATATCGAATATAATCACTTTATGGCTGATATATATATAGGGGTGTGATGGATCGGTGCTTCTCGACGACACCGAAGACATGAAGGGCGAGAAGAATGCTTTTCCGAACCGAAACTCTGCTCGAGGCTACGAAGTTATCGATAACATAAAAGCCGACGTTGAAAGGTTTTGCCCATCCACGGTTTCATGTGCCGATATATTGACACTTGCAGCAAGCGAAGCTGTTGTCATGGTAATTATAACATATGAAACATTGTTTTCCCTGTGGTTCGGTGTCTGATAATCACATAGATCGAACCGGATCGGACGATCTTAAACGAGGGACAAAACTCTTTCAGACGCATTTTTTTAATCATTAACTCGAACTCGAGATCTTATCTGTACTATTCGTTGTTGTTGGTGGTGTGCAGGCAGGAGGGCCGTCGTGGGCGGTACTGTTAGGGCGGCGAGATGGGATGAGTGCAAGTCAGCAAGCAGCTAATGAGCAATTGCCATCGCCATTTGAGCCTCTCGACAATATCACTGCTAAATTCACTGCAAAGGGTCTTGACCTTAAGGATGTTGTGGTCCTCTCAGGTTACATTTTTCATAAAAAATTACCCCACAAATTTTAAACATAATCTTATTATAAGTTTTTAAATCTCTGAATAGATCGAATTTTTTTTTTGAAGATATTATTTTTTATAACGTTTCATAGATTTTGGAAGCGGAGTCGAGACGAATTCTCCTCAATAAGTTTTACTACTTTAATTTGATCTTGTTACTTTTGTATGTTATTAGTTAAATCAAATTGTTAACCTTATTAACTATTCTCGTAAAAATGTTAATATAATTTAACGAGAACAATTAACAGTGTTAATAATGTGTATGAACCATGTCAAATTATAATATAAGAAATAGATAAAAAGATCGAAATATAATTTTTTACGGGTGAAAATGATAAATTTGTTTTACTAATTTTAGTTATATATTGCAGGGGCTCATACCATAGGCTATGCTCAATGTTTCACCTTCAAAAGAAGACTCTTCAACTTCCAAGGCTCGGGTCAGCCGGACCCTACGCTGGATGCTTCGACCCTCACTAACTTGCAAACTATGTGCCCGAACACCGACTCCTCGAACACCAACCTCGCCCCACTCGACTCGGCCAGCACTTACAGGTTCGACAACATGTATTACAAGAACCTCGTCAACAATGCCGGGCTTCTCGAATCCGATCAAGCGCTGGCACGGGATCCGAAAACCTCCCCAATGGTTAATTCGTATAGCACGAACTCGTATCTTTTTTGGAATGATTTCGGGACATCGATGGCTAAGCTCGGGAATCTCGGTGTTCTTACGGGGAACAAGGGACAGATAAGAAAGAAGTGTGGGGCTGTTAACTTGTGATGGTTGAATTGATATTAGGATCTGAAAAATGTTGGTGCTATGTTGTAACGGACCATGTTATGTTGTCGATATTCAATAAACTACAGTAATTTGGTTTACTTTGCGTCGTGTTTGAGCGGTATAATTTCTAAAATTATCAACGTACGAATTGAGATATAAATACACATTCATCGTAATGGATGATTAGTACAAAATTACGACTATAAAAGTGTTTGATAATAACAAAGGTTTATTTATTTATTTATTTATTCTCCACTCTGAAATTTTCTCTAAAAAATTAACTTATTCATCATCAATCAACGGCAACCGAAAATACCACAAATCACTAATTGTTTTATCTTAGCCTTAGGTTCAATTTAGGGGTCTGTTTAAAATCACGACAGATATTATATAACTTTATCTTACATAATACATCCAATCGGCAAATGAATATTATTTTAATAAATAATTTAAAGTAAATGTTAAATAATAAATAATTTTAATAATAATGTTTTTAGAAGAAAAAAAATTGAACTTTTACTCCTTAAACTTAATATTCTATTATCTTAATCCCTAATATATATATATATATATATATATATATATATATAATTTTTAAATCCTTTTAATGAGACACTTCATTCCAATATTGTGACATAAGACATAATTTCAAAATCTACATTGTCAGAACAATTAAAAATCGAATTCAAATTGATGTTAACTTCAATAATTAAAAAAATATTTTATCCTAAAAGAATGGCAAACGACTTGGAAGAGATTTCTGGCTTTTCCCCCAAGAAAAAAAATAAGATATTTGTTAATTAATTAATTAATTAATTTTATAGTTTGCAATATTTTTCTGGGCAGGAACTCACCAGCCATTCACAGTTCAAATTGTTCAAGCAACCTTAGGTTAAGATTTCTATAAAAAAAATCAAAATTTTGTAAATTTTTTTAGGGTAAACTATACATTTCATATTTAAACAATTAATTTTAGTCCGTTTTAGTATCAAACTTTCATCTTCTTCAAAATTATACCTAATGTTTAGTTTTTTGAACCATGTCAAATTATAATATAAGAAATAGATAAAAAGATCGAAATATAATTTTTTACGGGTGAAAATGATAAATTTGTTTTACTAATTTTAGTTATATATTGCAGGGGCTCATACCATAGGCTATGCTCAATGTTTCACCTTCAAAAGAAGACTCTTCAACTTCCAAGGCTCGGGTCAGCCGGACCCTACGCTGGATGCTTCGACCCTCACTAACTTGCAAACTATGTGCCCGAACACCGACTCCTCGAACACCAACCTCGCCCCACTCGACTCGGCCAGCACTTACAGGTTCGACAACATGTATTACAAGAACCTCGTCAACAATGCCGGGCTTCTCGAATCCGATCAAGCGCTGGCACGGGATCCGAAAACCTCCCCAATGGTTAATTCGTATAGCACGAACTCGTATCTTTTTTGGAATGATTTCGGGACATCGATGGCTAAGCTCGGGAATCTCGGTGTTCTTACGGGGAACAAGGGACAGATAAGAAAGAAGTGTGGGGCTGTTAACTTGTGATGGTTGAATTGATATTAGGATCTGAAAAATGTTGGTGCTATGTTGTAACGGACCATGTTATGTTGTCGATATTCAATAAACTACAGTAATTTGGTGTACTTTGCGTCGTGTTTGAGCGGTATAATTTCTAAAATTATCAACGTACGAATTCAGATATAAATACACATTCATCGTACGATGGATGATTAGTACAAAATTACGACTATAAAAGTGTTTGATAATAACAAAGGTTTATTTATTTATTTATTTATTATCCACTCTGAAATTTTCTCTAAAAAAATAGCTTATTCATCATCAATCAACGGCAACCGAAAATACCACAAATCACTAATTGTTTTATCTTAGCCTTAGGTTCAATTTAGGGGTCTGTTTAAAATCACGACAGATATTATATAACTTTATCTTACATAATACATCCAATCGGCAAATGAATATTATTTTAATAAATAATTTAAAGTAAATGTTAAATAATAAATAATTTTAATAATAATGTTTTTAGAAGAAAAAAAATTGAACTTTTACTCCTTAAACTTAATATTCTATTATCTTAATCCCTATATATATATATTAATATAATTTTTAAATCCTTTTAATGACACTTCATTCCATATTGACAATGACATAATTTCAAAATCTACATTGTCAGAACAATTAAAAATCGAATTCAAATTGTTAAAACTTCAATAATTAAAAAATATTTTATCCTAAAAGATGGCAAACGACTTGGAAGAGATTTCTGGCTTTTCCCCCCAAGAAAAAAAATAAGATATTTGTTAATTAATTAATTAATTAATTTTATAGTTTGCAATATTTTCTGGGCAGGAACTCACCAGCCATTCACAGTTCAAATTGTTCAAGCAACCTTAGGTTAAGATTTCTATAAAAAAAATCAAAATTTTGTAAATTTTTTTAGGGTAAACTATACATTTCATATTTAAACAATTAATTTTAGTCGTTTTAGTATCAAACTTTCATCTCTTCAAATTTACCTAATGTTTAGTTTTTTTTGAATTGTTAAAGGGGAGCTTGCACACTTTTCTGAATGCATTCACGTATCCTGATAGAACTTGTTATCCAGTTGCATCCACCAATGCAAAGGTAAAGCTTTTGCTTCTGATAATATTGAGAAATGGCAAAGGGGGCATCCTAATACACAGTAGTATTCGAGATAGCAGCAATTGTAAAAGAAAAAAAATGGCTGTTTTATTTGTGCATGTATGTATGGCTGTAGGGGGGATCAGGGTGGCGGAAATTATAACTGAAGATTAATGCAATCCCTTCCCTGCAGCTCCTACTGACCACGCAGCCTTGTGAAAACTGCAGAGACAAATATGACATTTTAAAGAAGAAAAACAAGATAAAGAGTTTCAAGAATGAAACTCTGATGTTCCTAAATTTCATTCTTGATGTGGTTTATATTTTCTGAACAGGATTTCTATAATCTTGTTGATGTATACCTGGATGCTGTCTTCTTCCCCAAGTGCATTGAGGACTTCCAAACCTTTCAACAGGAGGGTTGGCATTATGAGCTCAATGATCCTTCAGAAGATATAACTTACAAAGGTGCGTGGTGTTTGTGTGTTTATTCATTATACTCTCATGCATTTAGCCTCTGGAACCCCCTGCTTATCTGACAAACTTTCCTTTCCCTTAACTAATGCTTGCAGTAACCGTATTAGTATATTACTTCTCATAACATTTTCTTTTCCCATTTTTGATTCCTTTTAGGAGTTGTTTTCAACGAGATGAAAGGTGTCTATTCTCAGCCTGATAATTTATTAGGGCGGACAGCTCAGCAGGCAAGTTTTCCTTTCTTTTCTTGTGTTATGCTCATATGCATGTTCATGTGTGCTGGACTGTAAAACATCACACATATATTGAAGACACTTACTGGGAAATTTCATACTTTCAAAATTTTTCTACTTACAATTGTTCCATACAATGTCTCTGCAGGCTCTCTTTCCAGACAATACCTATGGTGTTGACAGTGGAGGCGATCCGCTAGTTATTCCCAAGCTGACAGTTGAAGAGTTTAAGGTACATGCTGCATTTATTTCTTTGGTATACATATCTTAGTGTCTTCGAATTCTTTTTTTGCTTGAGCAGCATTTTATCTTGATAAAGAGTAGAACCTAGGTTATGGAAAAGCTCCTTCCTTTTGGGCCGGAAGGGAAGGATGAGAAAGAGGGGGTACTTTTTTATTATTTTGTTTGAAACCTAGAGTATATCAATCTAAACTTCATGCTAGTTCGGTTATGGCAAAACTCCTTCCTTTTTGGTTGGAAGGGAAGGAGGAGAAAGAGGGGGGGTACTTTTTTCTTCTATTTTGTTCGTCTCTTGCATTTAGTTTTCTTTCAACTTCTTTTGGGTTAGAAGGCAAGACTCTTTGTCTTTTACAGTAACTAAGAAATGTGTCTATGACTGTTCCTTTGTGGTTATAGTCTTGCTGTTTGTATTATGGTTTTCTCTCATCTTCTGAATTGAAATTACAGGAGTTTCACCGCAAGTATTACCATCCAAGCAATGCCAGGATATGGTTTTATGGGGATGATGACCCAAATGAACGCTTGCGTATCCTAAGCGGTAATAAATAACATTGCAGTTATTATTCATGTATGGATATCTAAACTCCAGCTTAATACATTACCCCTAGATCCCTTGAAATAACTGGATTATGCTGTTCAAAAGCGAAGTGATGCTTGTGACCATGAGTGTAAGGCGAATGCATTATAATGTTTTCTCTTCTCCCGTTTATAGATATATAGCGCTTGATTGACCGGCCTGTTTTGGTCATATGCCATTGTACTTTCCTGATTTGACTATTCTTGTGGACTTTCCAAGAGCAATGTTGTGGTATGTTTGGAAATGTAGGAATGAGGTGATTTTTCAGAATGGGAAGGTAGATTCTCCGTTGTTGTTCTTCATTACACGATTCAGAGTTGTTTCTTGGTTTGATACTTCTTTTAAGGATGTTCATATTCATTTTGATTCTTTGATGGGGGATTTAAAATTAGCGGATCAGCATGGCAATCTGAAAATGAGGTCTCTTCCTTCTTCTAGGTGGAGTCCTCCTTCGGAAGGGTTCTTAAAAGTAAATGTAGATGGTGCAATGGTCAAAGGTTGGGATAAGGGTGGAATAGGTGGCTTGATTAGGGATGGCAGTGGTTTGGTGCTTGGGTCGTTTTCAGAGAAGGTAGGGGGAGGTCCTCCTTTACTCGCTGAGCTATTGGCGATTAATAGAGGGTTGATTCTTATTGATGAAGTTGATTACTTTACAAGTCAGAGGTTCATTTTGGAATCGGATTCTTCTAATGCTCTGAAGTGGATTAATAATCCGAACCTTAGTACTACTTTGTTTCAATCCTTGGTAAGGGATATAGCTACCATTGTGGAGAGGAAGGGTATTATCATGAGGCATATTTCGAGAGCAGCAAATTGGGAAGCGGATGAATTAGCTAAAGCTGGTATAGGTTGATTTTTAGGTTTGTGTAAT